GGTGACGGAGTTGGTGGCCGCTCAGAGCAACCTGTCCTACAAGCAGCTCCCGCTGCGCCTCTACCAGGTAACCAGGAAATTTCGGGATGAGCCCAAGCCCCGCTTCGGCTTGCTGCGCAGCCGGGAGTTTTACATGAAGGACATGTACACCTTTGACGCCTCCGAAGAGGCGGCTCAGCAGACCTACGACCTGGTGTGCGACGCCTACTGCAGCCTCTTCGACCGCCTGGGCCTTCCCTTTGTCAAAGTGCGGGCGGCCACAGGCAGCATTGGTGGCACTGTGTCCCATGAGTTCCAGCTCCCGGCAGACGTCGGTGAGGACAGGCTAGTGCTTTGCCCTGATGGACATTTTGCAGCCAACGTGGAAACACTGAACGATGAGAAAAGGTCTTGCCCCACATGCGGGGAAAAACTCACTCAGACCAGAGGGATCGAAGTGGGGCACACATTTTACCTGGGCACCAAGTACTCTTCTGTCTCCAATGCTGTCTTCTACTCCCCCAAGAACAAACCTCAGCTGGCAGAAATGGGTTGCTATGGCCTGGGCATCACTCGCATCCTGGCGGCTTCCATTGAGGTGCTCTCTACAGAGGACAGCATCCGTTGGCCAAGCCTCATTGCGCCTTACCAGCTCTGCTTCATTCCCCCCAAGAGAGGCAGCAAGGAAGAGGAGGAGGAGGGAGCTGTGCTGCTGGAGCAGGTGTACGATGACCTCGCTGAAGCGCTGCCTCACCTCGCTGGCGAGTCGGTGCTGGATGACAGGACGCAGCTGACCATCGGCAAAAGGCTAAAGGACGCCAGCAAGCTGGGTTATCCCTACGTGGTCATAGCCGGGAAGAGGGTGTGCGAGGACCCCCCGGTCTTTGAGGTTTGGAATCAGAATGCCGGCGAGGTTTTGTTCCTCACCAAGGAAGGGGTCATTGAGTTGCTCAGTAAAGTGCAAGTCCCTTAAAATCCCTGTCTCTCAATCTCTCATCTTTGCTGCACTAAATTTATCTGAAGAGCCCCAGTTCCTTTTCAAGGATGTGCAGGTTGTTGGCGATGGCTCTGGGTGAACGGAGCCGAATTCAGCTCACGTCAGAGCCGGCCATAGTGTCTTGCAACCACGCTGGGTGCTGGGGGTGAACTGTTGTCAGCCCACGTTCCCCCATGGGACTGGGGTCATTTCTCCCTCTGGGTACAGGCCCCTGTGAGCCGCTTTTACCAGTGCATATAGCCCCATGCGGCTGTGGGAGCGCTAGCAGGGTCAGCCCCTTGCTGCCCGGCCATGGCAGGCAGGTTGGCGATGGCTGCTGTCAAGCACATGTAACAGCAGGGACTATGGGAGGGGGGACAGGAGGGCTGTCCTCGCCCTTTCCAGGTGCCAAGTTCTTGGCATGAGGGATTTTAAGAGGGAGAGAAAGGAAGGTGCCTTTCTTCTGTTTGCATCTTCTCTTTGGAGACACCCAGGTCCCATGAAGGTGGAAGTTATTCTTAAGGCAAAATGGTAAACTCCAGTGCCTTGTTCGCTTTGCAAATATCATAGTGCTGCAAATCTGCAGGAATTAAGGTGAAGAATGGTGTCGGGTACCCACACCCCGGTCCCGCAGGTCAGTACAGCTGGTGAGACGCCTGGATCTGCTGGGCTTGGGTGGTGACGGTGCCTCAGGGTGGTAGAAAATCTTTGCCAAAACGTTAACAAGGAAACATGAAATTTGGGGACCTGCAAAGCCTGATGGTAAAAATGTCCAGGCCATATTGTTGTTTATAGGCTGTCGGTAACCATGTCCCGCAGGGTGGTGACATCCCACCTGTACGTGCCCGCTACAGCGTGGGGCTCGCCGTGCTGGGCCCCGGGGCTGCCGTGGGGAACAGCTTGCCGCCATCCCAGCAGCAGTGACTGGTGCCGTTGCCCCAAGAGCCTTCCTGTGACTTTGCCATCCTGCCCTAGGCTTGGAGCTCTTTGGAAGGTGGTCACCTTGCCCCACGCCACAGCTCCTGGGTCTGAGATCTAGAGATCACGAGCAGCAACGGTGCTGCTGTCATGCAGGGCTTTGTGGTAGACCCACGCTCTCCACGTGCTCCCGGACCTGAGGAGGTCACCTAGTCCTTATTGTCCCTGTCCTAGGCGGGATCAGCTCCACCTGCCATCCCCACGGGAGTTGCCACCTAA